ACAAAAAAAAAAAAAAACCTATATTGGTAAAGAAATGAGTAATGGCTGGATGGGACATGTTATGAACAGGGGAATTCATTTAAAACTCTAGAAGGCGGGTCCATTGATGTGAGTAGGCTGTGCTGCGGGCCCAAAACTGGGCTCAGAGCCTTCCCCAGCCTATGTTCTCAGCAGAGAGGTACCAGGGAGCCTATCCGCTGGTCTGCAGGGCTGACCCCAAATCCTGGCAACAGGGTCTCTGGGTGGGAAGTTGGGAATCAAGATTTTCTAAATCACACCAGGTGATGTTCACATTCAGAGGAGCCAGGAGAGGCCTTGGGTGGGGGATACAGTCACAATAGAGCAGAAACAGAAGCAGACGCTCTGAGAGGCCTGCTGAGTCCAGGGGTCAGCACCTGTGAGAAAGGTCTACCCTGAAGGGCTCAGCCCCACTGCACATGAGGTCACCTGAGACAGGTCCCAGGGGCCCACCCTGGAGAGAGCCTCAGCCTGGGGGAGAGCTGAGGTGAGTGCGACCCTAATACTGCCAGGGGAGGTTAAACAGCCAAAGCTGAGACCTCTGCATGCCACGACCTGGGCCCTGCTGACCTGTCCACCTTCATTGCCAGCTCTGCCACCCTGGCTTCCTTCTGCCCTCAAAGCCCAAACCGCTCCTGCTTCAGAGCTCTGTTCTGGCTGCCCTGCTGCTTAGACTGAGCGAGCAAGGCCAGGTCAGGGGGAAGTAAGGGAGGCATCCACTGTGGGTGCAAAATCCAGGGCCCCAGGACCCTCAGCCTTCCAGACAGTATATTGATGCAAAATATTATAAAACCAAAACTAAGGCTAAATATGCTTCAATGAGCAAAATAATGTCTTAAACAGGCTTCTACTTTGCATTTTTAAAAGCCACTCAGCCCTGCCTCAGTTCAACTTAGTCTGTTACATTTATATTGTCTCTTTAAATATTGCTGTCAAGTGCAGAATTAACTGTCCTAATCACTGAAGATTTTAGTGCCCCTCATGTTAGAGCCTAGGGCACCTGCCTCCAGAACCCTACCTGGCTCAAAATGACCTACACCTCCTCTGTAATACCGACTCTTCCTGATCTCCTCAGCCTGGGCTCCTAACCTTCTTGAAGAGACTTGGTCCAAATAGAGGAACCCAGCCCACCTTGGTTTATCAGCATATGAAATACCCACTATGTCAATTCTCCAGCCCACATTGTCCAGTTCCTTCACTGATGGAGAGGCACTTGAGATTAGGGCCTGGGCCTTTCTTGTACTTCTCTGAGTGCCTTGTTCGTGGAAAGGGTCTAATAGCAAGTGCTCGGTAAATATTTGCTGACCCATCTTGGTTTTACCTTTAGAAATTACATCCTCCCCAAACACAGGCTGGCACCTGGGAGATCATGGCTTCGGGCTTCTGAGAGTGAAGACTGTTCACAAGGATAGGATTTATGGATGGGATGTGTTCCCAGCTAATGTCTGAAGGAGAGTGTGGACATTTTTTTTGGTAGTGCTGATGGTAGAACCCAGGACTTTGCTCATGCTAGGCAAATGCCCTGACACTGAGGTACATCCAAGCCTTGGGGTCATCTCTGAGGCTGATTGAGCTGCAAGTGCAGAGAATCAGGCAGAAGGATCCTCCTGGAAGGAAAAGGTGTAAGCAAAAGAAGGTAGGTTTGTATCCCCATGATCCTACAGAGCTGAGGACAGCACACAGGTTGAAAGTCACTCTGGGACTAACAGGGTGGGCCAATGTCTGTAATGTGAGTGGGAAGAGAAGGGGGGATCAACAGCTAATGCACTACCAAAGGACCCAGACTATCATATAACAGAAACCATTGCCCAGAGGCAGTGATTCCACTAAATTTAGTGAGTCCCAAGCCCTCCCTTGGCTCCTCTGAAGAAGCTCCTAGAGCCTCCTGATTTCTTTGACTGACTTCATGAGACTCTTCTGCCATCTTGGACAAAATTACCCATGCTCCAACACTCTTCCTCTTCCACACATTGACAAGCTCCTTACCCAGGCTACCCAACAGCGCGGCTCCCCCGTGGTAGAAGATGATGCCTCCCCGGGAGCTGCACGCTGTCGCCTTGGGCTGAAACAGCCTCACAGGGATTGTTCCAAAGCGCAGGTCAGTCACCACCACTTTAGGGTCGTTTTTCTTTACGAAAAGTCTGTCAAGGACAAATTGGGCAATGCTGGGCATGGAGCAAATCCTCAGCTTCTCTAGTATGTTCCCCTGTCGAAGGTAAGAGGAAGAAAGTGAAGTAGAGGGGCGGTTAAGATCAGGAGGACAGGTCTCCTCGCTACCATCACTCCCAAGGCTTCTTGTGCTTCTCTCCTGCCTCCTGCATGTGTATTTGACTCTTCATTGCATCTCAGTGGGCTCTGGGTTGTGTTCAAGTAAGAGCCAGGTTTTCAGGGTGCACAGCCACATAGTCCTGATTGTATAATGGCATTGCCATGATTGGAATATTTGTCCGCCCTCAAACTCATGTTGAAATTTCATTGCTGTTGTAACAGAATTAAGAGGTGGAATCTTTCTGAGGTGATGGGCACTCCCCTTCCAATACCTATGCAATCTGCAACAGAGGGAGTAGGTAAGTCACCTCTGCGGTGAGGTCCTAAAAACGGATGAGTTCAGTTCATGTTTTTGGTCCTGCAAGCACAAGCATGTTTGACTTTTTGCCAGGAGATGTTGCAAGGCACCGTGGCCAAACCCATAGCTGATGGCCTACTCATGTCTTTCCCAACATCCTTAACTGCGAGCCAAAAAAGACTTGTTCATAAATGACTTGTTCTGTGGTACTGTTAGAGCAGCAGATAAAATACTGAGATTGGTGTGAATTTGCCAATGTTGCAGCCTACTTTAGGGCACCATGAGAAAAAGACTGAAATGAAGACTGTCAATTGTCAAAGGCATCTATCTGACTTACATCCTTCTTCATTTTGTTTCTGTACTGGATTCTATCCAAAGGGAATGGCAAAGCTGTTTGGTCATTTGTGTCAAAACTCACCACTATGGGGCTGGGGATGTAGTTCAGTGGCGCCCTGCCTGCCTGGCAAGTGCAAGTTTCTGAGTTCGATCCCTGGTACCAAACAAAACTCATCATTTCAAACCTGCAGCTCTGGGTTACAGAGTATCCTTAAGCTATGTTTGTGTTCAGCAGAAAAGAGTAATATGATCATCTGGGGCTGTTGGCTATTTGCTCAGAAGGGGTGAGTATTGACAAAGAACTACATATAAGGTATCATAAAAAGTATAATGTGTGTTTAAAATTTAATTTCCTTCAAAATACTTGCTCTCTAATTAAACATATTTCCATAATTCTTGCCTTTTTCTGAAGCTTCTGTGGATGTTTTCTTCATGAGTGTTTTCAGTTTTGCTCATATGGCTGCCTTGATGCCCTGAATCCATTCAAAATATTTACCTTTCATGGTCTCTTTGACTTTGATGAAGAGCCGGAAGTCAGGTTATGATGTGGGCAAGGTGGATGAGGACCGTCTGTCTCTTGAGTGGCACTGTTCAGCAACAGCCACGCTATTCTGTTATCATAGCTCATAAAGACATTTGTAAGGGAGGACTGCCGGATGTGCTCCAGAAAGGGGAAGGAATGACAGGGTGAGTCTGTTGGAGGGGCATGTTTGGGGGGAGACAACAGCAATGTGCATGTGACTGTAATGAATTTTTTTAAATGTAAACATTCCCTACATTTTTTATCACCCTGTGTATTTACCTAGTGTGTTTTTCATTATACTCTATTCTAGTTACAAACAAGCCACTACCCAGATATTTTGTGAAATAGAATTGCAAGGTAAGATCTTTCATGCACAAAGTTCACTGTAGTTGTTTTGGATCATTTCTACCAATCTGATATTCGGTGTCTATCTTGGTCCTAAGGAATTACAGGCTAGTTTGAGGCTCCAGAACTAAAACCAAAGGCCCTATTTATCTAAGAGATCCAGAAAAATGGGACTCTCCCAACCTTTAGTGTCTTTCTTCAACAGTCACCAAGTATCTGGATGACAACTCCTATAGGCTGTGCACGGGAGCTCAGACAAGGGTAAACGAGAAACACTGAAGCCCAGAGATGCTAATTTCCAGGAAGTCTCAACTAGCTGGTGGTGGAGCTCAGACTTGAAGTGATCCATGCCCATGGTGACAAACTACACCAACTGTCCAGGGACAGATTATTTTTAAACAAATATTCCTGAACCTATTAATCTCTTTTACTTGTCATCTAATGTTGTTACCAACCTAATGAGACAGACACCATCATCCCCATTTCACAGACGAAACTGAGACACGGGAAGTTTTGACAAGTGGCCAATGATCACACAGCTAGTGAGAGGCAGTATGAGAAAATGTACATTCGGGCTGAGGATGTAGCTCAGTGGCGCTGCACCTGCCTTACAAGCGCAAGGTCTTGAGTTCAATCCCTGGCACTGGAAAAAAAAAGAATATATACACGCTCTGGCTGTAGTTTATGTGTTTACCTTTATATTTCCTCACCTCCTGTACAGTTGCCCTCAGAGATAGTGTGTGAGTTTTTGGCCTCTTCTAGGTGCCCAGGGTTGAGACATTGAGATTAATTCAAGTTGCCTGCCCCCTACATGAGAAAAACCCTTCTTCCCAATTCTGCTGCAACTCTAAGCAAGTGCTGAACTACTGCCAGCGTCTCACCCCAAAGCTCTGCTCAGAGACCAGCTGTAAGACCACCCTGAAATTGTGGCTGAATTTACTTATCTTTTTATCAATAAATAGTATTTATGAGGAACCTGGCGCTCTACTTGGAGCCTAGTTTAAAACTGAATATAGTAGTCCCTGCCTTCAAGGGACTTATAGTTGCACAGACAAACACCTGGAAACAGGTAAGTGCATGGAGTGGGAAGGATGCTGCACTGAAGGTGTCAGTCTCCATGAAGCACCTGGTGTGCAGGGACTAGGTCTGAAATTGCTATTCGGTCCTCAGAAAAGAGCTCACTGATTGTACTTGGTAATCATTTGATTATGAAAGAAGAGAGGGAGGCAGTTAGTGAGGGGAGCCAGACCAGGAAGAAAGGAGGGAGAGAGAATAGGAAGGAGAGGTGATGAAAAGAAGGAGAAAAAGAAGCAAAGAAGGAAGTAAATAAGGAAAAGAAAGAGTGAAGAAAGCATGAATGTAAGAAAAGAAGGAGAAAAGAGCTGTGAAGGAAATGTAACAGGGAAAAATGAAGGCAAGAGAAAAGAGAAGGAAAGAAGAGGGAGCAAGAGCGAGTACAGTAGGGGAGGAAGATAGGTCAAAGGAAACAAGAGAAAGAAATATAGAAAAGAGAAGACAACAAGGAGAGAAGGAACAAAAACTATGATGGAAGAAAGAAAGGAATGAAGAGATGAAAATAAAGACAACATGAAGAAAAGGAGGAAGAGGGAAAGGAAGGAGGGAAACAATAAAGGAAGGAAAGGAAAGAGAGAAGGAGAAAGAGGAGCAGATACAAAAGTGTGTAAAATCCTACCTTGTCTGTCTTGAGGAAATCAGGGGAGGGAAAGAAAAAAGGGAAAAAAGCTTGAGGCACAGCACTAGCACCCCCATCTCATGATGGAGCCTGAGAGAACACTCACCAAAGTCATCACATAGATAAATACGCAGTCCAGAATTCTGAACTTGACAGGATGTTGCAAGGCAGAGGGGACCTCTGTGGTGAGGAAATGCTTAAAGATGGTCCAGACAAAGAGCCCCAGGAGAAAGATGGCCAGGCCCAGTGGCAGCACCAGCAACAGGACAACCATAGTCTGAAGCCACAGGGAGCTGCTCCACCAAAAAAACAGCATAGGAGTGTGGTGAGGAGAACCAGGCTGATTATATGGGCTCCAGCTCCACCTACATTTTCTATTTTTGCCTGATGCAATGGTTTGGCCTGGCCTCTTAGAAGTTAACTAGGCAAAGGCAGCTTACAGAATCGAATCCCCAAGGAATATAGTGACCAGAAAAGTCCACGGTGCTCACCAAGGGGAGTTCAAGAAGTGGTCTTTCCATAGATGAGAAGGGAGTGGGCCTATAATGAATTTCAGCTCTGGGGGATCTGAAAAGGTAGTCTCGTGTGGGTCACACAGGGTCACCTATGCTGACCTTCTGATTAAAATAGGAGACAAGGCTCAAATCCCACAAGAGAATCTGCTTAGGGTGACCAAAGCAGATCTCATATCCAACTCTTTTACGCCTGGAGAGTGTACTACAGGTGTTTTTTAAGCTTGTTTCCCAAAATAGTTCTGATCATTTCTTTCTCTCATGGAACAAAGCATGTGGGCCTTGGTACTATTTTCTGAAAGGGAATGGGAGGCCTGGTGAGGCCTCGGTTTACCTGGCATAGTGGGATTCATACGAACCATCTCCAGAGTCTTTGGAGCAATTGGCTGAGCCCTGCTCTAGCTAGATTCCCTAAGTAGGGCTGAGTCCAGCACATAGAATTTTACAGGTGCTACCTTCTCAATGTCTAGGGAAGGACTGATAGGAAGACAGGTGAACCATTCCTCTCAGTTCTTTATTTAATTAATTTAAAACACATAATATAAAATGTACCATTGTAACCATTTTTAAGTGTGCAAACCAAAGTGTTATCTAAATATATCTTGTGCAACAGGTAGCTGTCTTGCAAAACTGCAATGCTATACCCTTGAACACCCCCCTCTCAGTGCCAAGTCCCTGACAACAAAAATGCTACTCTCTTAGAGTCTGAAACTATTTTGTCTACTATGAATAAAACTATGCAGAGTTTGTGTTTTCGAGACTGGCTTACTCCACTTTAGCACATTGTTCTCACACTTCAGCCAAGCACTAACATATGATAAGATTTTCTTCTAAAAGGCTGAATAATATCCATTATATGTATATACCAAATTTTTACCATGTTTCCCGTGTGGGGATAAGACCCACAGCCTTCTGCATGTTAGGCATATGCTCTACCACTGAGATACAGCTACAGAACCTCACTGTGCTTACCCACTCAAACAATAATGGACATTTAGGTGGCCTGCACATATGGGCAAATGCAAATAATATCACAATGTATGCAGCTGTGCCAGAATCCCTCTAAAGTATTTGAGGTTTATTTATCTATAATTAATATATCTGTGTGCATATATGCTTATGTAAAAGTGCACATAAATGAAGTGTTCAGCTTGAGGAATATTCACAAAATGAATAATCAACCCCCAAATCAGGATGGAACATATCTCTGATGACCCCTTCGGCCCATCCAAACCACACCCCTATTACACACCTACCAAAAGAGGCTGGTTTCCTCCAACTAACAGCTAAGATTTATCTTACTGATTTCTGAATTTTACATAAATGGAACGATGCTGTCTTCTTTCTCCAAGGATTCTTTCACTCAGCACCATGTCTGTGATATTTACCAATGTGTGCACAATTGGTTTATCTGTGCTCTCTCTCTTGCAAACCATTCTTTGCACAGATATAGCAGAAGTCTTCAACACTTCTGCTATCGCTTGGGTATACAGTTTTTGCTCATTAGTACTTCCAAATACACAATTTTTCCCACTCTACGAACATCAAGATAAATGATATTCTTTGTCTTGTCACCAAAGTTTTGCCAGGGAAGAAGAATGTGGTGATATTCCATCAGAGAAAATTTTTATTTCTTGCTTCTGCATTGTATGGACCTTGGCTATAATCCTGGCTTTGCAGTGTGGAGGGAATATTTCTTTGTAACATAAAAAGTTTATTCTCTGTGGGGAGTTGGTATGTGTACAAAATACCTCTTGATTCCTTTTTACATCCCCTTTCCCTTCCCTCTTTCCCCCATCCATCTCTTGATCCCCGTTTGGAGTACATGTTTGTGGTACATAATGTTTACATGCCTTGTGAGGAGTTGTACATAACACATCTTGATTCCCTTTTTTCATTCCCCTTCCTCCCCTGCCTCCCTCTCCCTCTGTTAATTACTTTTCTCATTGCTGAGACAAAATATCCAACACCCAAAGTTAAAGAAGGAGAGGTTTATTTAACTCACAGTTTGTAGAGGTTTCAGTTCCTAGTCAGCTGGCTCCCAGGCAGGGCAGCATGGCAGAGAGGCCTTGCCAAGGAGAAACAGTTCAGGGTGGGAAAAAGGTAGGAAAGCAACAGGGGATGACCACAGCTCCTTCTATCACTTATATTATACAGGATACTTAGGGCAGGTAGCACTCACACTTAATCCTAGTGATCTTGATCCTAGCATTGCACCACCAATCAATCCCAGTGTCACACACTAAATGCAGTCACCTCTGAAAAATTGTCACCGTGTGAGGCTTTTGGGGGACATCTAGACACAAGCTATAACACCTTCCACCTCTTTATACTCATCCACTTTCAGAAAGATCTACCCATCTACTTCCTATTATCTAGCTTTTCTTTGGCTCCTTATATATACTTTGGATTTCACAAATAAGAGAAATCATGCAATATTTAAGCTTGTGCATCTGATTTATTTCACTTAACATTATGGTCTCAAAGTGCATCCATTTTCCTACAAATTGTGGTGTGTTATATTTCAGATGTGCTGGGTTCATGTCTCCCACTACTGAAGAATAGATATGAGGACAAAGATGGTTAAGAGTAGGTAAGATTTATTGAGAGAAGCCTCCTGAGCAACAGGAGGTGTCCAAAACATGGGTTGCTGTTGAGGGTCTTTCTCAAAGGGATTTTGTACAACAAAATTATAACTTGGGCAACTATGGTCAAATTTCACTCAACCTGTAATTATAAGTATGGTTGTTTAGCTAATGTTGGTCCAAAAGGGAAGCGAGGCACATAGCAAAGGTATGTATGTGTCATGCATTATTAACTTTAGCTTATTTATAACCTTTTTCTATTTTTTTAACTTTTAAAAAGTTTCAAAAATATATGTTTGCAATATACTCAGTTTATGGTCATGGGGAAGTGGTTGCATGTGGTGTATACTACAGCTTGGTTTTTTTTTGTTTTGTTTTGTTTTGTTTTATCTCCTTCCCCTTCCCTTACCCACCCACTCCTCCTCTAATTCTCCTGCTCTGATTTTCATTCTTCTTGATTTTAGTAATCTTAGCTCATGTTATAGCATAAAATATCTACATTCATTGAGGTTCTTAGGTTCCTGTACATAGCATATCTTTATTCTACTTATTTCATGTTTCCCTCTTCCTTTTTCCCTTAGACCTCTTCCCCCTTGCAAGAAATCTATCTCCTTGTTCTCTTCTATCCATCCTTTATTATTCTCTTTGTTTGTACCTTGCCTCGCTCAAATGAGAGGTACCACATGATACTTAAACTCATATTTCTGGTTTATTTCACTCAACATTATATTTTCCAGGTGCACCTGTTTTCCTACAAAAATTTCAAATTTGTCTTTCTTTATAGATGAGTAGTATTCCATGATATATAGATACCACATTTTCTTTATCCAGTCATCTGTCAATGTGTATACAGGCTGCTTCCAGGATTTAGCTGTTACAAATTTTTGTGTTGTACACCTACTGTGGTTTCAGGTGAGCTGACTCCTAGCTGAGGCTTCAGATGAATCAGAAGGGACAAGGAGAGGGTTTCTGACTCTCAGAATAGCGAATCTCAACAAAAACTATGATTAGTGGGGGTCAAAACTAGACAGGAAGATGCTGAACTTCCAGGGAACACTCTGGTATATTGTCTGTGCCTAAGAAAACATGATCAGCCACCTGCATGCAGGTGAGGAGCAAGGCAGATTACTGCCCTTGCAGTTTCCAGGATGATGGATGGACCCCTCCAGGACTTCAGCCACATCCAAGGAGAAGAAAAGAAGGGGAGGAAGGACTGTACTTGACAGCAATTGAGTAAATTTGAATTGGCAAGGATATCTTTTCCTTGTTTATTTTGTTCTAAATACTACTAGTAGGCCTTCTCCCACCCAGAGCCACCATCCTCCAGGGGCCGGAAGGTAGCCTGAGCCCTGATCCACCGTGGGAAGGAGAGCCACACCCTCTACCGCATGGAGCCACCATTGATCCAACATCAGGAAGGTAGCAGGGCGGGTGCCCCTGAACCCCCATAACTCCCCTTACCTCCCCCCACCCCGCTGCGTGCACTCTCAGACCTCCTTATTGTGCCAGTCTTTGGACCCACTCTGCAGAGGCAGAGGTGGCCATCAAGGGTATTTTCTGAATTCCCAACTGTGAACATCTTTAAAGAAAGGGTGTGGGAAACCTGTAGTAGAATGGTGTGGAGTTCAACCATTCAGAAGTTAGGGGAACTCAATCTGGGCCTTGCAGCCCGAGGTCAGTCTGCATCATGGGGTTCAGCCATCAGCTAACTGAGATCAGGGGTCTTGTGTCCTAGATCTGTCTGAGCCATTAAATGGTAAATATACTATATTGACAAGTTTGTTCACTGCAGACATGTTCTGGACTGCTTCTTGATTTCAATTTAATTCAAATGGTTTAAGGGTGATAGACTAGTGACTACCACAGGTGGTCGGTTTCCATGTTGTGCTTGATCTTAATGTGCTGCTGATTGTATCAGTTGGGATACAGGATTGTGGTTGATTTGATGAGCTGTTTTCTCTGATGTTATGAAGATGAGAATGTCCGTGGGTCGTTAGAGACACAGAAGCTAGGGCCCAACTATATCAGGAAGATTTCGGTGATAACCCAGAGATTAAACCAAGGACAGCCCTACCACAAAAATAAATATGAGAAACCACTTAAGCAAGACACAAAGACAGACTTCCAGTTCACCAATGGCAAACAGTAGGGCAAATGAGGATGAAAAGGCTGATAGT